AGATATATAAGAAATTATAGATCGCTAAGATCGCTAAGAAATTAGAGAAATCATAGAAAGTTGAGATCCATGATCGACGGGATCATCATTCGCTAATTGTAATTGTCGCAGTATTAATGCGTCATAACTAGACTATCACTAACAACGTCAACTAAAATTTTTTGAGAATTACCATATTTTTAATGTTGCCATACTCGTATTAAAAGTGAAAATGGAATGGATTTATTCTTTACGTATATTCATAAACTTTATTACATAATATTTTCATATGTTATGACTAAATTAAAGCGATTATTTATTGAGAAACAATTTTTTAGGAGATTGATGAATAAATATCAATTTATATGAAATTTCATTGTTGCGTCATTTGAAAATTGAATGGCGCAGTATAAATTCCAATTAACTGATGATCATAAAGATTAGATTTATTATCCGAAGTGTAGCGGAGTACAAAGCAATGCGAGTGTCACGATTATGCAATGTCTATGTGTCCCCAAACAAACAAATAAAAAAATATAAAAATGATTATTACGTACTTCGAATGATTAGCTTAGTTGTTAGCTTGATGATTCGCATATAACTATTTGGCAAGCGTTTATCTTCAGTAATGATAGTGAAAGAAACAGAACGTTTATATAATATACTTAAAAGATTTATTACAAACAAAGATGATCGTTTTTTACATGAAATGTAGTATCACATTAAATGCGGTATCACACGAATAAAGGATTGTTTATAATCTTAATTCGCATCAATTAAAAAATTTTTTTTCTTTTAATTTGAAATTATACAATTGAAATTATGAGTTGCAAGAAATTTTTTTTTCTTTTCTTCATTTTAAGCTATCTGTTCTTTAGAGCTTTAGAGTTGAAACATTAAATTTAGGACGTTTTGGTCATTCAACTGTCCTTGTTGATAATAAACTTTATTTCTTTGGTGGAAGTCTTGGTCCTTGCACAAATGATGTTTTTTATCTTGATTTATCTCAACAATTTAATGCAGAAAACCCGCCATGGACCGACCTTACATCAAATTCAGGAATAGGATTCAAAAGTTGTTGGGCATCTACCGTACTAACTAATAATAATAATAATCCGACTATTTACCTAATTGGTGGAGTAATGCGAAATCAAAATAATGAAGATTCATTTATTTCTCTAGTATATGAATTTAATCTAAAATCAGGACAGTGGATCATACCTGTAATAAAAGGAAATGTTCCAGCACGACGTAGAGAATTTCAAGCTGTTGCTGACGATTTAGGAAGTATTTATGTTTTTGGTGGAGGTGCCGATAAATCAATAGGATCAAATATTACTCAAATATTTAATGATATGGCAATATTAAATACTGTTAATTTAACATGGTCATATGGTCCTATTGTCAATGCTCCAACACCTCGTGTTGATTATACTGCAACATTATTATCAGATGGTGTTATTGTATATATTGGAGGTCGTGAGTATATCTATGGTGTTTTTGCTGTTGTAGATATTAACCAAATTTACCTTTATGATACAAAGTTATCATCATGGTCAGTAGTGGTACGTACTTTATTATTATGAACTCCTTCGTTAAATTCCCATTTAAAAATTTTTTTATTTTATTTATAAGCAAACGAAAAGCAACATTCTAATTGATTCTCGCTTTTCGCACTCGGCTGTATTAGGTATAAAATTTTTATAAAAAAATAATAATTAGTATTCAAAATAGTATTAATATATCTATATAATTATTAGCGTCTGATGGAAGAATCATAATTTATGGAGGGGCAAAGATAACTTCTGAATCGGATATTGCTAAAGCATATCCAGATTTGATAGTTTTAAATACTCAAACATCTCCATTTGAATGGACAGTCCCACAAGTATCATCAAATATTGATGAAGTGCCATTTTTTCCATCGTTAAAATCTCATACAGCAAACTTATTAGGAAAATATATGATCGTTGCTTTTGGTAAGTGATGATTTACATCACAAATTATAATTTGTATTTTAATTTTATAAAGTTTTTAGTATTAACTTTATTGGATTATAGGAAATATTACTCAGCCAAATGCTCTGCCGTTAGGTAGAAGTTCAAATATTTATTTGTTGGACATTAGTAGTTATGCTTGGGTTAAGAATTTTGAACCTGAGTCTACAACTTCTGCAAAATCCAATCCTACAACAATAACAAATATTTCAGAAAGCAATTTAAGTAAAGTGAAAATTACTATAGGCATAATAAGTGGAATTGCCTGCTTCACAATTTTTTCAGCAGTTGGAATTTTTGGTTATAAATGGTATCAAAAAAGAAAGCATGTTGACGTGATGAGGATTTCAGGCGGTTTTTAGTTTTTTCAATGGTAAAAGGTCAAGCTTAAAAGTTTTCTTTTATGAGTCATATTACTTAGTTCCAAACTGTTTGATACCAGATTTCCAATTCATTTTTCAGGAAAATATTGGCGTTAATATTTTAATTGTCGTTGCCTTAATCAACAATAAATTATATAGTTTAATAAAATTCAATAAATCTTCAACTTTTTTTTAAAATTGAATAAATTAAAGCAAGGTTTACAAGGTATAAGTTTATTTAAACTATAATTAAATTGCAAAAAAAAATAAGAAATATAAGACCATCAATAGAAACTATCATTGGCTTTTCTATTGGAATTTGGAATCTTCTAATTCTTACAAATTTATTTCCTATATTACTTAAATATCATATATTTTTATAGTGCTATTTGGACAAGATTCCAATAAATTTTGAAAATAAAATTGAATTTAAAGTCTTTTCACGGTTTTCTACATCATGCTATAGACGCGAATTAAAATTCATAAAGCTTTTTATGTAACTTTAACCTTTTTAAAATATATCGTTGAAAGACTGTTGTATTTTTATTGTGCCGACATCATTTTACGCATTAGTTCTAATGACAAGTTCGATAATTTTGCATCTTTTAGACTATATTTTGCATAACCGCACTTTTGAGCATATTTGCATTTTATGTGACATTAAATTGAATTTTACCATTTATGGATAAATAATTTTAAAGAGTCAATTAAAGCTAATATACAACTTGAAAAGATTGATAATCTTTAACCTGAATTGTCGGTATTCATTAATATAATAAATTTTGGATCTTATCACAAAAAATTAGATTGAAATATAAATTATCAGTTCTATCGCAATAACATAATTCAAAAGAAATGATTATACTTCATGAATGACATCACAAGTTTCACTATAATTTCCGATTTATTACATTTCTATTTGGGTTCCCATTATTTGCTGGTGTATTAAACCTGAGAGATCTTTCTCTACCGCGTTAAATCTGATTCTGAAAATTAATTTTGATTTTTCAAATAAATTTCGAAGTTGTCATCTTGTTAAAGTATTTTTTGTGCAATTGGATATTAACATTTTGGGACGGTAACCTTAGGGATTGGACTCGTGTCTTGATCTTAGAAACCGACGGTAGGGTTGGTAAAGTCCTAAAAGTCCTAATGAATTTAAAGATAAAATTTTATATACTATTAATTAAATTTTTTAATAATTTATTTGTTTTTTTAATTATTATTAAAAATAAACTTTTTTATTTATATAAAATAAAAAAATTCTTTAAAATTAGCAAGATATTTAATTTAAGATCTGGTTCTAGGACCTAGATCCTAAATCTAATATTTTAAAGATATTTTAAATTTTAAACTTGATTTAATAAATAATTTAATTAAAAAATTTAATTATAATGACAATATTCAAAAAAAAGTAATAAGGACCAATTAGGACTAGCCGGCGGAGGCAGTAATATATGCATTTTTTTGTATTGATTTAATATATTTATTTCTCTTTATTTCTTTAATAAAAACAGTATTTATTATTTAAAATTGCTTTACATTTATATTTTTGCTACATTATCATCATGTTTAATTACCTATCTCACACAAATATGTGTTAACAAGTGGTGCAACCTTACATTCTATTCTCTTTTTATGGTTAATTTTGTCAACTATTTCTATCAAATACAACTACATAATCAATTACATACTTGAAGAGTTGCAAATATTGCTTGCACTCATTGTCAAGGGAGTAATAATCAAATGTTAAAGTGTTCTATCAAAAAAAATATATCAAAAATTTGTATCAATAATAAACCGAAGTTTATCGAAAAGTAGTTTAGTTTGTTAAAAAAAAAAAAATATCACTAATTTGAATTTGTATCAATAATCCCGTAATGAGCATCAAACCATGACTTCATAAAAAAAAAAAAGAAAAACTCGCGCAATGAAAATTTTACATTGAACATTGCTAACTAAAAAAATATACTTACAATGATTTAATGAAAAAAAATTGCCAAAGAATAAAAAAAAAGTAACCAAGATATATTTTAATTAGATTGTCTAATAAGCATTTGTATGCTTTTTAAAAACTGCCCAATTGCGCAATTATAATTAGGTGGATGCTATGACAATTGATTTGGAACTGTTGTAAACTATAACTTTACATTTTATTGGTATCACAATTCAATCTTGCAGTTTCATATGAAAATGGTAAAGGTTTGGTCACTTTGAGAGTTATCTTGTTCTATACTATATTACAGTATATGCTCTTTCTACGCTCTGCCTTATTCCCTCGAAAATACGTCATTAAAGGTTTGACTAGGTTGTTTGCAATAGTTACGATTTAATATTCTTTTACGGAACCGACACATTACCTTACAGCTAGCTAATCCGTATGTATTGCTGCGTCGCGCATCCTTTGACTTTGTAATTTAAATTTTTTTTATAAATTTTTTTAGATGATTTTCATTAATAATAAAAAAAAGAAAATTTTTTTTTCATTATAGATTTAAACCTATTTATAATCATTTACGAAAAATAAAGTAAAGATTTCATTTTGAAAATTTCATTAATAAAATATTCCATATATTCGCAAAGTGCCTTGATTATACTATACAACAAACTTTAAGCATATTTTTCTTGTAAAGATGCATGCAAATAAAATTATAATAGACCAAATCCTTCAGTTCGAAGTTTAGATCGTATCGCGCAAAGCTTTAACCTTTTCAAAATTAATTATATCATCAGAATTCACACTATCTCCATCAATATCTGATTCCGCCATAAAATTAGTCACGTGTGGAATTTCATTTATTATGATTTGATCTAGAATTTTTAGAATATATAGAAGGAAATGATACCTTGTTAGCTTAAACGGTTCGTCGTTAAGTTAACTAAGATTATTTGCTAACAGGGAGTTTAAGTTCGTCTAAAC